GAATAGCTACGATAACGTGATCAAAGTGAGAGGTCAATATTCTCATTACCTTCTCAACTATCATCTTATCAGTTATGGTTTCACCACAACCCTTCATGAGATGGACGAGTTTCTGAACCTTCGACACATATTTTGCAACTTTTTCATCTTCTCCCATCGACAACAACTCATATTATCGATGCGAGATTTGTAACTTGACAACCTTGACTTTCTCACCTCCTTCGTAATACTTCACCAGAATATCTGATGTCTTCTTCATCGTTTCAGCATGAGAGATTCTGTCGAAATTAGCAGCATCAACCGCCGTCTGAATAATAAGCAGCCTTGCAATCTTTCATCTTGACTTCGTTGTGGGCTTTTTCTGTTCGCCCGTTGCATTTGCAGCCAACGTAGGAACACCGTCAGTAATCACTTCTAGAGTTTCATATAAGCCAAACAAGGATTGCATCTGTTTTTTCAATCAGATCCAATTCTTACCGTCAAGCATTGGAAGAGAATTTGAAATGCCCTTATCACTAGCCATCTTCATAACAGTTGATTCACTTGTCCTAGAAACACGATCTCTGACGTGAAATTATTGAAAACTCGATCAAGATCAATAACTGGAAGCTCTGATACCAATTTGTTTGTGCGTGAGACACTTTTAGTGAAGAATGGATAATAAAGAAAATAAGAATTTATATTACTGAATTATATAAATAATGATATAGACTAAGACTATTTATATACAACCTTAATTGATCTTGGGTCTACACAGCTTAGATTATATTTAAATATCAAATCTAATATAATGTTTCAATATAATCTATTTAAATTTAAAAAGCAAGAGATAAAACCAAATGACAATTGACAAAACTGAAATAAGTAATGAGTTTTATAAAGTCAAAATGCTTACATACTATTCGAATTCTACATATATCTTAAACAATCAGTAATTATATTTCAATTACTTTTTGTTCGAATTATGGATTATATAAATAAAAAATTGTGGAGAATTTAAATCATATTAGGGGTGAAACGAAATGAATCAAATAGAGAGATAAAAAATTTCATTAAATTTTTTTTTTTAACTAAAAATAAAGGATACTTTTTAAATTGATAGACTATATTATTACAATACAAATTTAAAACGCTAAGAATAAAAGAATAAATTTATGAACAAACTCACAGCATCCATGTTAATAGTATAAAATGGTAAATTGTATAAGTCTACAAATATGAATATGAATGTATTGAAATGTCTGAAATATTCATGTTTCCGGATCTGTAGCGTTAATGGCATCAAAGTCATAGATATGATTTGCACTAGATCAAAACTAATTTTTCAATTTGAAACAAAACAACACCTCATAAAGACGGGAAAATAAAATACACTGCACAAATGTGAGAAATTAAAATATACCACACAAACACAGAAAATCAAAACAAACAGCGATGAAGTAAAATGATGAAATCACAACAATAAAAAACACTTATTTAACTAATAGAGAAACAAAAACGATTTGGAAGTGTGATTTTAGATTAAAATTGATCCTAAATCAGCCTTTTTTAAAAAATAAAGAAGAAGAAAAGTGACGACGACTAGGATTAGAGAAGGAGAACAACTTAAATTTTTTTATTGAAGTTTTTAATTGAAAACATAAAATGCATTATTAATTTAATGTATGATAAATATGCAAAGAACAAAATAGGTTCAGGCTATGGTGATTCACGTGAGCGAGTGACAGTTTTTTATTAATTTTCTTTTAAAATAAGTATTGGTCAGAATCGACCATTCAGTGAAACAAGTAGAGGATTTAACATGTCACTTCACACTTATATATAATACTATTTATCATTTATATTTTTATTATTATTTTGTAAATAACTAAAAAAATTTAAAAAATATGAGTTTTATTGAAAATTTGGAGGATCGAGAAATTTTAAAAAATTCTGTTTTTTGTTTAAATTTCCGGAAAAAAAATTAGAATTTTCAAAAAAAATATCGGTTTTTTCGAAAAATCCGATACTTTACTTTTCAAAAGAAAAACATTTTATACTATCAAAAATTTTTAATATAACATCAGAAATTTCAGTATATTTTAAAATTTTAAAAAAAATAAAACATTTCACAAAAAAAATTTGAAAATTTTGAAAAACTATAAAAAATTTGATTGTTGTACACCCTTCAATCTGTTCAGGAACACTTTTAGAATAACACAAATTAAAAAACATTATATATAATTTGAGGTATGTTATGTTAAATCCTCCAGAAAATACTACAATGAGGGCCTCAGATTTTGGGGTCCACTTTTTTTTTTTTTATTAAAATAATACATTTTACACCTATTATTTCAAAAATAAATGTTAAAACAATTTGTTTACAAAATCTATTTTAATATATTTTTTAAAGACAGGTGTAAATTCATAATATGTTTTTAAAATTTATATTATTTTTGTTTTTTTTTTTTAAATTGGATAACAATTCATATTTTTTTAGACTTCTTTTTCGTACAAAGCCCTTAAATTGATTAAACCGACTCTGGTAATGGTGATTATTAACACCTAGAAAAATAAAAACCCTTGTTAGAAAAATAAATTTTTTTATAAAATAATGATAAACAATATTTTTTATGAATAATAAAAAAAAATAGCAGATTTTTTTTTTGTGGAGTTAAAAATCCTCCAAAAATCTAATAATTTTTTTATAAAATGAGATGTTTTCATATAAAAGATCTCTCAAGATATACGGTACCAACAAAATATATATCTAAAATATGTATATAAAATTCTATGAATTAAATGTTTTACTTCCACCGTCTCACAATATATTATTTTTTATGTTTTAAATTATTTGTCTTTTTAAAATATTAATATAATATTTATTATTTCTTTCCTCTAATTTACTTTTATTTATAATATTTAAAATTATGTAAATAATCTATTATCAATTATTAATAAAATTATTTCCGTAAATAATATGTATTTTATTATTGAAATCAACACAATTGATTATTATCTTAAAAAATATGAAAATTTATTAAAAAAAATATTTATTATAAAAGGGAGAGAATATATAATTAATGAAATACACATAATTTATTTTAAGGGTTATGCTAACGAGTACTCTAAAGACATTCTTTAAGAATTTCAAATATAAAAAACTATCGCATTAAATACAAGTCTTTTAAACCAAAACATATCTTTTATTCTTTAAAAAAATCCATTATTCTAATTTTCCATATATTAAATATAAGTACTTTCAAACAAAACATGCTTTATTAAAACTCTTAACGAGTGTCTCGGGGACACTTGTTAACATTTCCTTTATTTTAATTTGTCCAACTTGAGATGAATGATTTGTCACAATAATAAATATTGCATTAATATTGTAAAATGAAATAGAGTAAGTTGTTGCAATTACCAACAAATTAAACAATTTTTTTAAACTTAAATACACTTTTAATTCTCTTATAATTAATTTTTTAGTTCCTTTAAAAAAAACCAGCTATTAAGTCCACCAATATCATTTTTGATAAATTTTTGTTGGTTTCTGACCATTTATCTCCTGTTTAATGACATGACATTCCAAGATGAAATTAGTCACTTGTCATATCATTAAAAAATATAATTATTCATTTTTAGTTTATTTTTTTATTTTTTATTTTTTTAAAAATAATTTATTTAATTTAAAGAAATAAAATAACATTACTTCACTCTAACAGTCATATTCGCTCCTTCCGCCATTTTTCTTTCATCTTTTCTAAGTGAAAACCCTAAAATTGTTAATTTTCAAAATCAAAGAAGATCCATAACAAAAATCGTATATATTGTTGCAATGTATCAACCACACCACCTTCATCCAAGACGCACGAAGACGACAAGTTTTATCTCAGGTATTTATTTTAATTTTAATGTCTATGTAGTATAAGTTCATGACTTTACAAAACACTTAATATTATAATCATATCCTAAAACTACTCTTGAGTTTGTTGTGTAACAGGTGGACCCTGAGATGATGTGTCAATTTCAATTAAGCCTTAGTTTTACATAAACATTAAAACATAAATACATACCTGAGACAAAATATATCGTCTTCGTGCGTTTTGGATAAATGTGGTGGTTGATACATTGCAACAACAGATACGATTTTCGCTATGGATCTTCTTCGATTCTGAAAGTTAACAATTTTAGGGTTTCTACTTGAAGAAGATGAACAAAAATGATGGAAGGAGCGAAGATGGTCGTTGGAGTAAAGTAATGTTATTTTATTCTTTTAAATTAAATAAATTATTTCTGAAAAATAAAAAATAAATATATAAATAAAAAATAAATAATAAAAAAGTTTTAATGATGTGACAAGTGACTAATTTTATCTTGAGGTGTCATGTCATTAAAATAGGAGACAGATGACCAAGAACCATCAAATATTCACCAAAAATGATAGTTGATTTTTTTTTAAATAGAGACTAAAATGTTAAGAAACTAATTATAAATGCATTTAAGTTTTTTTTCTATATACATAAAAGACAAATTTTAGGTACATTTTTAAAACACCAAAACCAACAAATCTCCTTCTGCACGTATCCAACTACAATAGGAGAACACAGAGAACACCATAAGACTACACCTGAGTTCTGTTCTTATAAATATTCACGAATAGAAACACGGCCTTATGTTTTCTTAAGAGATACTATATTAATTAAATAATGCAAAGTATATTTTACTGAAAACATGCCACCTCATAAGAAGTAGCAATGAGGCATTTACATATATAAGCAAAACAAATGTTTTTTTATATAACCATTTTTACACTAACCACGCAAAAAGTTATTATAGACATAAGCTCAAAAAGTTGTAGAAAATAGCCATCAGGTCAATAAATGATAATTAATGAAAATATGAATTTAGATTGTAATTTGTGATAAATAATCAACCAGTTTCACATTTACCTTAATAAGCAAGATATTTTGGTTTACATTAATCTTAACATGCCTGAAGCCTGAAGCTCATATTCGACCTCAACCTATTCTTGATTTGAGCATGACATAGCCTGGAATCAGAAGCATCACCACACTCAATATAGCATCACCTGTAAGATCCCAAGTGACTCCTGATGGTTTGCGAGTGGCTGGCTCCATACAGTAAAAGATACAATCCGAGAATGATATAGTTGAGCAGCCTTTACATGTTGTCTTCCTGCTTTGCCGTTTCCGTCTGAGAATCATGCTCAACTATCAATATTCTGCAAGTTGATGCACCGGGAGACTGAAAATCTCCTAATTATTCCAAGAAGTTATTCAGCCTGGGTATACTCTAACAACATGTGTGGAGAGCGGTAGATTTTAACAAGCGTCCAATACAGAATCTCTTCCACTTCAAGCTCTCCTTCTGCTCTTGCAGCATATATATCTTCACATATTGCCATCAATCTACATCAATAAACACATTATAGAAATCATCAGAACCCACTTCATTTCATTTCCCAATAAAACAGAAGGGATCCCATTAATGAACATTCATCATAATATAGCTAATTGCTTGGGCACCTGTCACAAGAAGGAAGGTTCTCAAAAGGAATTCTCATTCGTAAATCAGAGCATTGTAATCTGATAAAGCGTCCAACTGCAAGCACAAAGGTAATGTAAAGTCCCCAGATGCTGAACTTGCTTAGAGTTTCACCGATAATGCCCTCTAAAGCAGCAAAGAGAATAGATAAATTGGTATTAGTTAAGAAATTTGATCATATCTTACAAGACAAGTTATGCCTCGACTTGAAGATATCGACAAGATAGGTAGTTGTTATAAAGCTTCAGTAGAACTTACGAGGGGTCTCTTCAGATACAATTATAGCCATTGGTCCTGGGAACTTCCCACATCCGTGAGAATCTGAGATGTCAAGATCATAGAAAGACCACCACTCTAGATCCCCGCGGTTAAGGACAAGATCCCCACTAACCAGCTCCACCTGCCAAGACGTTGTGCCCTTTATGATCTGAGCCAGTCAGTGAATGAACGTAGCAGTTCAATTAATTATACTAGGAGCATCTTTTTGGTCTTAGATTGGATATTTTGTTTAAGTCTAAAATTAGGTCATTGTAAGTTAGACATACATACCGACTGTTCCAGAGACCGCACATCTCCAGAGCCTGTGACCCGAAAATATCTGGGATAAATATTGTATACCGGGAAACTATTGGAAGTACCGTTGAAGACTCTGGCCACTTCATAAGATGTGGGAAGATCCTGCTCCTGTATTGTTAAATCATATTTCACTACTTCCTTTCCTTTAGGCCTATCTCTGGTAAATTCCCAAGAGAAAGTAATGTCCATATTCGACCTAAGGGACTTCATAAATCTAGCCTGCACAACAGGTGGGACATGCCACAATCTACTTGCATCTGATTGGCAGCAAATTAATTGAATGTCGTTGTCATTATATGCAGTAAGATAACCAAGAGGATCCAAACTTGTGCGAGCTTCAATCCTTTCCCAAGATATCTTTTCACACAAAGTAGTCTCAAACAATGTCAACCTCCCACTTGATGTCTTTATATCAACCCGAACACTGGCATCTTTGATCGGGTTTGCAATGTTTGTTGGGTTACCGCTACTGTACATCTGTCCAGAAAATGTACTTTTGAAGAAATGATGCTAAATGAGAGTTCAATAAATAATTTAGGGGAAACAAATCCACTTTATGATTGATCTAAAAGATAATAAAGTAGTATTTAACAGCGTTTGGAAAAATGTCAGAAAGGCAGATCATGCCAGCTTTGGTATTTAAATTTGAAATATGTACAAATGCATTGTGACAGTCAAGACACCTTAAAACTATAATCCAGGCTGAACCACTGAGTGCTACATATTTCCCAGAAATGAAACACTACATGTTGGTTATAGACTATAGTCATGACAAAGACATTGGCCATCGATTGTTTATGTTTTTTCTTTCTTCTATCTTTCTGAAGAGACAGTTTTCAAGGCCTGAAAATATTCAGTATAGCAACTCCTGTGGCATCATAATTGCTTCCCGTTATTGGTCATTGTAGAAATATGTTTGGATATTTCATATCTGGTTGATAATACATAAGATGTATATATAGTACATAGGGCTGAGAGGGATGGGCTAATTTAGCCTAGAAATTAAGGGAATAACTATTCCTATAAATGCTAAGATTAAATGTGATAAAAACAAAACAGACAGCTAATTAATTTACATAAAACTGCAGTTATGATATATACAAAACAGAATCTGCACAACAGATTCTTTTCTGATCTTCAACAGTCACATACATATACAGTAATAGCAACTCTTTGGCCAGTTACTGTAAGAAGGATTTGTTTGGCTGGCATCCTGGTAAAGGAACCTTTGCTAATTCTGAAAAATGCAGAATTCATACTACCTATCAAAAAAGGGTCATAGATGTGGATAAAATAACCCACATGAGAAATTTCAATTAGTTAAGCCAAGAAAGCGCAGAAGACACTTGCCACCGCAGTAATTCTATCAAGAGAAGTTGTGCCTCTGTTCTTTTTATATTTCTGTTGATTAATACTCATATTTGGTATTATCCTCTCCATTTATTATTAATTAATATAGTTTCATTGTTCCCTACTCTTTTTCCTTATTTAGAGACATTCTCTCTCTATATATATTTGTACAATCTCATTAAACAATACAATTTAACATGTCACTCAAGAGTTATACATGGCACTCCCATTTTTTGTTATTCCAAAAATGTCCCTGAACAAATTTGGATGGGTGTCCAAGAACGAAATTTCCGGTATTTTTGCGAAATTTCTAGTAGTTTTGTGAAATTTCCGGTATAATTTTAAAAAAAATAATAACAATTTTTTTTCAAAAAATTTTGAAATATAATGAAGTTTTCGGTACTGTACTGGAAATTTCCGGTATTGTACTGGAAATTTTGAAATTTCCGGTAGTATAAAAGAAAAAAAAAATTCTGAAAAATGAAGGGTATAATGGAAATTTAAAAAAAAAAACAGAATTTTTTTGAACTTTTCGGTAAAACTCAATTTTTTTGAAATTTAGTGATTGTACACAAAAGTATAATGGTAAAAGCATACTGCCTAGTATATTTTCTCCAATACAAGCTATCTAGTCTAAATTACTCGAGTCTGTATCAAAGAAGCATATTATCCACACACCAAGCCCAAAAATGTGGGGTATGATAGGGAGTGCAGGAAAAAAAAACCAAGTCTTGCATTGAAAAGAGATTAAGTCTGAATCTAAAATAACTTATAAAGAGTGACAATCCTATCTTACAACTTACAAGTCAGTTTGGTAATCATGAGCTAAGCTAAATCCAAAAATCTTGGAATTTCTATTTATCTCAGCCGATAATATTCATCCAAAAGGAATGAAAAGAATAAATTATCTCACAAGGTATGGATGTAATCAAATGACTCCAAAATGCTGTCACTATATCATATACTTATCTAAACTACTGACTTCTAGACATTTTTTATTTCTCCTAAAAAATTTCTTGGTCTTCCTCTTCTCCTAGCAATTGGGATACTCTTCAACTTATCTACTCTCTTTACTCTATAATCTATTTGTCTCCTCCACACATGCCCAAACCACCTAAAACGAGGTCTAGTCATATTTTCTACAATATGTGCTACCCCAACTCTATCTCTAATGCTATCATTTCTGGTGTCCTAAGCTTACTCTGATGTGAAATTTTATTGCCCAACACTTCATCACATACAACATTGTCAGCCCTAAAGTTGTACGATTAAACAACCCCTTTGGCTATCTTTTTATCACCATAAAATCCTCGAGGCACTCCTCTCGAAACAAAATGAGATTCATAGTTGGAACATTTAATTTTAACAAAAAGATGATATTAGAATTTTTTTTCTTACCAGCATTGGAGCCCATATAACACACATTAAAACAAAGAATAAACATATCCCACTGCAGAACTTTGTCATTTTTGTCTGTTTTTGTCCTTGTTGGTGGCTGGCTCTATTCAAAACCACATCGCATTTGACAAGAAACAAGCTTGCATGAATATCTTCCAGCTAGAAAGAAAGTTATATTGTTAAAAGGATAAAAATTGGGTAAAAACGCAAACTGCTTATGAGAAGTAGATATAACAAAATACCAAGTCTACATGTTTAGGTGATATAGGAGTGTTATAAATTAAGTTGTTGAATGAAAAGTGCCAGTTTGCTGGAGTACTAATACACGAATATTAAGATACTGGTAACAATCAAATTTTAGTTCAGGTGCCTGTTTCTGAAACTATTAACATCCACTATTAAGATTTTGCTAATAAAAAATTACAAGCCCATGAATGTTTATTTCCATAATATGACAAACCTACAAAATCGGTATGTAAGGTGAAGGGTCTCACTCTATAGAAAGAAACACACACAAGTGATAAATGTATTTTCTTGATTCGGTAAATAATACATGAGGTGTTTATAGAGTATAAAAGTACAGAAAATAGAATACTACTCTAACCTGAAAATCAGAGTAATAATTCTCCCAGGAATTATTCACCCTATAAATGTTAATTCATAATGTGATAAGTACACATAATGCTGAATTATTATTAAACTATTAATTATATCTAGCTATAATGGGCGGATGATTTTGTGCTGATTTACTTTAATAAATTTCAACACTCCCCCTTAAGCCGGCATGTCTATGTCACTCATTACAAGCTTGTTCACCATGTCATCGAATGGTCTCATCGAAAGACTCTTTGTGAGATCATTTGCTACTTGTGGTTGATACACATGACATATAAATCTCACCACTATCAATGTTTTCTTTAATGAAGTGCTTGTCCACTTCAACATGTTTCGTTCATTCGTGTAGAACAGGATTATGGGCAATGGAAATAGCTCTCTTATTATCACAATAAACTTTGATTGGTTTTGTGCTAAAGATCTTCAATTCATCCATAAACTTTTTAATCTATAATAATTCACAAAAACCATGGGACACGGATCGGAATTCCGCCTCTGCAATGCTCCAGGCTACAATATTTTGTCTTCATTAATTATGATTTTTAGTTGTGACGGCTTATTTTCAATGACTGCTTTCCTTCTTTGGTGCTACCCACCAAAATTGTCTATCATGTAGTGACATGTTTTTGTCCTCTTTCTAATTTCTATATTTAAAGCTTTAACTTCATTATAATATAGATTAATGAAAGTTTAAATTATATCATAAACTGTTTAGAAATTGCTAGACTTTTTTCTCAACATACTGAGTCAGTGGTCCCTAATATTCACATTTCACCATTAATAATAAGACTCTTGGATTTATTTCAAAATGATATTTTCCAGATTATCATTAGATGATCAATCACGGACATTAATGATGTCCAAATGTGATTATGAATATACAAGTGTTAATCTCTTTAAATAGAGTATTCTGATCTAACGGGCCTTACTAAATATCCAAACTTAAATTACTAATAAAATAATAAACTAATAAAAATAATAAACTAATTGAATATTTATAACACTCCCCCTCAAGTTGGTGAATGTATATCTATCATTCCCAATTCGGAAACAATTTCTTCAAAGTTATTGTTGTTAAGCTCTTTTGTTAGAAGATCTGCAAGGTTGCCTTGTGAAGACACATATTGATATTTGTAAATATATAATGTTAAAAATATTTGTAAGTAGAATAGTCTCACATCGATTATATAGTGTAATTAGTTGTAATCTCTCTATATATAATAAAGTCTCCGTAGTGCTTTCAAAACACACGGTTTAACCTAAATGTCTCTTAGTCTCTCCTAATTCAATATGGTATCTAGAGCCTTCTAAGAGGCAATTATTCGCCGTACTTTACCTAGTTGACCCACTGTCTTCCGGTGAGAAATTTTCTTCTGCAAACCGTGTCATCATTCCGGTTTGCTCACTTTTTTCTTAAATTTTTTTCCAGCGACCTCAGCCAAGCACAGCCTACTGAAAAAAAAAATTTCGGAGGACTATTGTTCACCGTCGCTGTCATTGTTCACCGCCGCCGCTACTGTTCACGAAAAAATATATATATATTTCCCGGAAAATCGCCTTCCTCCTCCGGTTCCAGATCCGCCATCAGTTTTCGTTTTCGACTCACAGAAAGTCGTACTCTTGTTCAAACAGCCTCAGTTGTTGTGTTTTAAGCCACGGGAGATGCTGATTTTGTATCGTTTACTAAAGTTCCGCTTATCCCATGTGAAAAGCTAACCGGATTAGCCAATTATAACATATGGGCTCGTGCTGTCGAGATGTGATTTCACAGTCAAGGATATGAAGAGCATCTAACCATCCAATTGAGTGACGTTGCAGCCGTCAAACTCGCTAAATGGAAGAAAACTGATGCCTCTTTATGTACTGTGTTGTGGTTTTCCATAGCACCTAACCTCCAAGCGCAGTACCAAGCATTCTCCACTTGTTATGAGGTGTGGCAAAAGGCCAAGAAAGTCTTTTCCAACGACGTTCATTCTCTATACAGTGTCATCCACAAACTCAACACACTGAAGTTGGAAAATATGGATGTGCAAGTTTATCTGAGTAAGCTTGATGCCTTGAAAGCAAGTTATGCAACCCTCATGCCTTACGCAAAAGATGCAATAGCTCATGCC